TCTTTTAAACAGTGCTGTTTTTATATCTCCATCCAATCTTCCATTCAGTGTCTTCTAGCTGACAGGAGAAACAAGTTTACATTTTGCCACATAGAAAATACCATTGGATCTCTAGTTACTAAATAGTAATTCATACTTAAGGTCATTTTTAATAAGTATGATGGGAATTAAAACTAGGTGTGTGTGGTAAGAAGGGTGAGGCTATCTTTAAAATATCAGGAGCTCTTAGTCATTTTCTTCCCTATAGAGGGTTTCTGAAAAGTTGCATATAAACTGAAATTAGAATGGTGAATCACTTAAAATATCTAGAGGGTTTCTTTCGTTTAATAAAAATACCAAAGAAGAAAATACATCCATAATGTGAATAAGAGATAGGGGTTTTGTTTTTCTGTCTATTAATATGCTTCTTTGTAAGGTAGAGCTTTCCTTTTCTGTTCTGCTTTCTGTGTTCTCTGTACCCATATGTGAACCACAAGACCAAAGAAATCTAGCCTCTTAAAAAGCACATGCTTAGAGACAGTTAAAGTCTTTTTGTTTGTAGTATAGGTCTTTTTGTTTGTAGTAGGTATGTTCAAGGATTAAGGAGTACCTCATTACCCACAGTCTTATCCTAATTGTTCCACTGACTTCCGTATGAGTCATATCTTGATGTGGATGGCAGCTCATCAAGACTGGTCAGTTGGTCTGGGACTGAGAATAGTGAAAGGTAGTCTAGACTGGAAATCATAATTCAAGGGTTGAAAATCTGAGCTGGCAGGGGTTACAACAGAGGCCGAAGAGTTTCTTGTATTCAGAGACAAGCCAGAAAGATAGGACCAAAGCCAGGGGCAATAGTAGTTAGCTTCAAGTCTGCAAACCAGAGTCATTTGATGTTGGAGAGAAAGCAGAGGGTTAGAATAACTTACTCACTACCGGAAGTATCAGAGACTCAAATCTTATAATTTAATTTTTCAGACTGAAAATCCCATATTCATAAATAGCAGTGTTTTAAAAACGGTATTCTATTGATTCCTAGGATTCTGCGAAGGTACCCCAGGTAGGAGTGGGGGTGTGGGATTCTATTTTTCTATCAGCAATAGAATATATTTTACGGGGCAGTTTCAAAATGGATTTGATGTTCTTTGAAATTCTTAAATTTCAGAAGTTGTTGAAATTATGAAACCTTTATTGCAGATGAAAAATCTTTATAACTTTATTAGAAATTCTTTATTTTGATGGCTTTCTTAAAATGTCATTTCAATGTAATATAAATGGACAAAGTCCAAATCATTTAACTTGGAGAATCTCCTTCCTATCCAGCAACCAAGCATGATGTAGTGGAAATTACCAGCTTAAAAGGGAGACCAGAATTCTAATTCCAACATTGTCAGTAATTTTGTGACTGTAGGTAAGCTTGGGCCTATAAAATGAGAGAGTTGTTCTTAAGTGAATTTCTAAGATTCTTTTTTGACAAGTTTTACTTACCTCTGTCATAGTCTAGTCCATTTCTTCTTTTTTAAAAAAAATTGTTTTATTTCATTTTCAGCTTTACTGAGTTATAATTGACATACAAAATTGAAAATTCAGTCCATTTCTTAACCGTTGCAATGCTTTTCTATAGTCACATACTAGTAGAGACAGAATAATATTGTAGTAGCTAACATTTATTTAATGAGCTTTTGTATGTGTGTCTCATGCTGTACCGGGACAGCAGTTACAAGTCTCTTTTAATTCTTACAGTAGTACTGGTACTTTACACATAGAGAAACTGAGTCTAATAGAGGTTAGGTAAATAACTTGGTCAAGGTCTTATGACTGATAAGTAGCAGAGCAGGGACAGCCTTTTTGACTCTGAACTATGAAACTTTTCTGCATAGAAAGTTAGCCTGCTAGGTATAAAACCTTAAAGAGGTGAATTTCTAAACCAGAGGTGCAGCAGCCATTTTTATGATCTTTAATAACAGAAGGGTCATGTAACTTTTATATGCACTATAAAGCCTGGTCAACAAAGTTATTTTTCTAGTGCTTAAAAGATTCTCTGAGTTTGACCTACAAACTGAAATTTTTTGTATATATACAGACTTGTTTAAAAGGAAATATTTGTTAAAAAAATAACTTTTTATAAAGCAAAAAATTGCCTGTAGTCACAGTGGTGTAGATATATAGGGCTGAAAGAAAGTTTTCATACTGTGCTAAAGAAATCAGTTTTTAATTAGTTAATTAATTTGTGGCTGCATTGGGTCTTTGTTGCTGTGCACGGGCTATCTCTAGTTGCAGTGAGTGGGGGCTACTCTTTGTTGCGGTGCACGGGCTTCTCATTGCAGTGGCTTCTCTTGTTGCGGAGCATGGGCTCTAGGTGTGCGGGCTTCAGTAGTTGTGGCACACGGGCTCAGTAGTTGTGGCTCTCAGGCTCTAGAGCACAGGCTCAGTAGTGGTGCATGGGCTTAGTTGCTTCGCGGCATGTGGGATCTTCCCAGACCAGGGCTCGAACACATGTCCCCTGCATTGGCAGGTGGATTCTTAACCACTGTACCACCAGGGAAGTCCTGAAATGCAGTCAGTTTTGTACTTCACTTCCTCTTTGAAAGCTGGAAGAATTGACAGTCTCTTCTCACTTGATGACTGCACTTGTTAAAGCTTTACTGTATTCTGTATTATAATCGTCTTAATTCTTTTATAGGTAGACACCTATGTAATTAAGCTGAGGCTAGAGGCAGAGTCTGTCAATATTGGGTGGTAGGGAGGAGGATTGGGGAAAGCTTTAGGTCAACAAGCTGCTAGACGAGGTAGAATTTGGACCAAGGTACCTGCAGGGGATTCTAGAGGGGATAGCAAGAACAAAGCCAGTAAGATGGACAAGCATGAAACATAGGAAACAGCTAATTGGGCTGCAGTAATAAACATAGCTCTTCGAATGCAGTGTTAATAGTTATAATAGCTACTATTTATTGAGTTCCTGCCATTCCAAGGTTCACCATCTTTCTCATTTAAGTCTTATAGCAACTATATAAGGTAGGGTAACCCAGATAGGTTAAATCACTTCAACACGGTCACTCTGTTAAGTGGCAGAGAAGTGACTTTAACCCAAGGTTATCTGGATCCAAGAACCATACTTAATAATAAATCTTCTTTGCATGCAATATGAACTAAATAAATATTTGGATGAAGAATATAGTTCTGATAAGCACTCACATGCTTGGTTATTATTTCCTAAATCATGAGCTAGAAGTATAAAAGTAACCATTAATTATTTTATGTGGAAATTCATAAAACATGAAACTTTGAACTACTGATATTTTACCAGAGAATGTAATCTTAATTATTTGATAAAGGATTTACTGTGTTTTGAGATCTTTAATTACAGATTTGTTCTGAATCTCAGAGAAAAGAAATATTTAAAGTCTTAAGTTGAACTGCCTTTGATAAGAAACTCAATAATAACTACTGTCAGAAAAGGGGTTTATAAGAATAAGGCTAATTTAAAGGTACATAATGGTATCTTTAAGAGACATTGTAGTGAAGTGCCTTTTTTCTTGAATCAGATATTTCAGTATTTGAGCCTTCTTTATGTATCTGAGACTTTCCCCTAAAATTTCTCTTTGAAAAGGATATTTATACTTGAGCCCTTATGAAGTCTCTAATTATGGGTACATTCTTAATTATTTTATTTTGAACCCCAGAAGCCATTGGCTCAAAACAGCTTCAACTGATGCTAGTTCTGAATGCTTATGGAGGTTATTTCACAGAATTTTTTTTTTTAAAGCTTAACACAAATTTAGCAATTATTCCTGGAGGCATAATCTCATACTTGCAAATGTTGGCTGTCATTGTAAATGAGTGCTTAAATTGTAGAAATCATGAGTGATCCTACAGGATGAATGAAAATAACATTTTCTAATGTAATGTGAATAGGTAGTTGTGATTTAATGTAAATTTTCCCATGAAAACATCATACATGGATTGAAAGTGTTATGGCTCAGTTTATACAATAGAGATGTCTGAAACACCATATTAGGTGGCTCAAAAATAGTTTTAGCCACAATGAAATCATTAGGTCAGAGATGCACTGTCCCTCGTATTCATTGAGGTCTCTTCCCAAATGTCTCATCAGAGAGATTTTTTCTGAGTAACTTACCTAAAGTAGCATTCTCCATCAATCTAGGAACTTTATTTTGTTTACTCTTCACTCCCCATCAGCTAGCACATAATAGATACTCAAGTATCTGTTGAAAAACTGTATAGAGTGTGTATAAAATTATCTCATAAATGTGAGTAGGGAAAAAAAGCAATACAGTTGACCCTTGAACAACACAGGTTTGGACTGCACGGGTCCACTTATATACAGATTTTTTTTTTTCAACAAATACATACTATAGTACTACATGATCCATGGTTGGTTGAGTCCTTGGATATGTATTCCACTTGGCACGAAGGTGGCCTTATTTGGCTCACTGGATTATCATATCTAAATATGTATCCAAAAGCCTAAAAGAAATTTTACAGAAGTTTATTGCAATAATGTCCAGTCTTTCCAAATAAATAATAAATTAATTTTAAGATTGTTGTCTGTATGGAAAGAAAGAATAAGTTTGCAAATAAGAGGAATCTACAGTGGCCAATTCTAATGTAAATAATGATACACTGAGGCCACAAAACTCCATTGTGGCTTACAGAATATTGAATACAGTCCATTTGGTTAATTAATTAGTTACATTGATTTATCTTTTTGTGTATCAGGAATGAATATGTCTGTGTTATGTGGTTTTCCTGTAGAAATACTTGAAGTAACATTCCATTCCAGTTTTTCTATAAAGCTGTGTTTCAGTATCCTTTAAACATAGGTCAGATATGCTAAAGTTAAGGCAGGGTAAAACAGAATCTCATGCTACTGCATACTTGTCCAGTCTCCTTCTCCCCAAGGCCCCCTCCCCCAGCCAAAAAAGGAAGAAACAAAAGGAAAACACTACCCCAGAAAACAAATTTTTAAAAAGTAATTCTTTTCTCCATTTTAAAAAATTTAGGAACAAGTTCCAGTTCCGGTCTATCATCCAACACCTAGCCAGACTCGCCTAGCAACTCAGCTGACTGAAGAGGAGCAAATTAGGATAGCTCAAAGAATAGGCCTTATACAGCATCTGCCTAAAGGAGTTTATGACCCTGGAAGAGATGGATCAGAAAAAAAGATCCGGGAGTAAGTTTTAATTTATACATATTTCAAAGATCTGTCTTCAGAGATCTGATTTTTAAAAATACTCTCCTGCATTTTGGAAGTCAGATGTTTAATCATTTCTTACAAGGAAATGTTTAGATGTAGCAATTAAGAAGAATTTTCATATAAAAATAGCTAAGAAATAAATGATGGTGTGAATTCTGACCATTTTATATGTTGCCTCTGTCCATTTGGATGACAGTTAATGTCAGTTAAAAATGATTTACCTGTGTAATAACTGTGAACTAGTACCAGCATTGCTGGTGGCCTAATCAGTTGGGAAAGCCATTTGGCAGGATGTCAAGGACCTTTAGATCTAAACCCTTTGAAACAGTTAATTCTAGAGATCTATCCTAAAATCCCTAGAGTTTTATGCATAAAGATAGTCACCATAGTTTTATTTAGTGAAAAATAACAGTAGAGGAATACTTCGGTAGGTTATGTAGCCATTAAAATGGTTTGCTAAGGGTTTTAGTGATATGAGGAAAATCTTATCCATTTCTTAACTTGTAGAATAATTGTACTAAGCCTGGTGAGTTAAATATAAGGGAGATTTTGTCCTCAGAGCTCATTATTGTCTGAGAATCCCTAATGAGGACAGCCATTCTCCTTTTAGGTTGAGAATGGTCTTTACCAACACAGACATAAAGTAGTTTACTATGTTGTGTTTGGATGTTTGAGCTGTAGCACCATTTAGGGCTAGTACTTAAGATTATAACCTATCTAGAATATTGACTGCCGAATTGGGTTGCTTCTTGAATCTGTAGAATAGTGCAGTGAGCTTGAAACTGGGGTTATTGAAGAGAACTTTAGCCTGTAGCAGCCCAGTAAGTAGGCTGAAATTAGTGGTTCTGTATTTACATACAGTTATTAAAGTGAAAACTATATGGGCTTACACTAAAAAAGCAGTTCAAATAAAATTAATCTAACATGGTTTCCTACGTACTAAAGCTTCACATTCTTCTTAAGGTTTCTTCTGTAATAGCTGTTTTACAAGTAAAATTCTAGCAGTGGACTTGATCCCTGTGTGATACCTTTCTCTTTCCCCTGTTGATTGCTCTCAAACTCTTCAAATTCCCAGGTGATTGAAATAAGAGATTGTGGCTATATAACACTTATTAGGAAAAAATTCAATCTGGATGCTTAGGTGGTAGGATGACAGGCAAGCCATTTTCATCTGTTCATATTAACACTGTCTTTGTAATGGGGATTTTAAAGAGTATTCTAGATGGATCACTTCTCTAAAAATGCTTTCTTATTTCTCTCCCTCACCCTCAACAGGTGTGTGATCTGTATGATGGACTTTGTTTATGGGGACCCAATTCGATTTCTGCCGTGCATGCACATCTATCACCTGGACTGTATAGATGACTGGTTGATGAGATCCTTCACGTGCCCCTCCTGCATGGAGCCAGTTGATGCAGCACTGCTTTCGTCCTACGAGACTAATTGAGCCAGGGTCTCTCATCTGACTTCAAGTGAACCATCATTTTTGGTGGTTTTGATCTTTTGTCACTGAGCCCAAAGAGCCAGGGATTAGGAATTAAGATCATGCACAAAAATTTCCTAAAAATTCCTGCATGGCTGCAGAAATTCCTGAATGGCTGCAGATGTTGGGGGAAAAAAGTATGTGATATTTTAGAAACTTAGGGGGGAAAGTAGGAAGGTATTTTTATGTAAAGCCTTGACCCAGTGTTCAAAAATATAATTGTATTTAGATCTTGTTATTGCTCCAGTACATAGGAATTGTGTAAAGTGTTATACAGCAGCTGTATATGTTTAAATTGTGTATGTTGAAGATTAGGAAAAAGATAGTGGTTGTTTTTCCTAAATGAAATAACTTTCTTCTTCCCTCCACCCAAATTCTTTTCTCAAGTTGCTGGCATTTGGGTCAAGGTTTTATTAAAAGCTACATTTTATAACACTGGCACAAAAAAAAGTAGTTTTAAGCTTGTTTGCACAGTTCTTTTTTTCCATTGGAAATGGAATTCATTGCCTTAGGTCTTTTTAAATAGTGTATTATTATCGTTGGGGCTGGCTCTATGCTTGAAAACCAGTTTATTTATAACCTGTTATAAGTGCTATATCTGTTTGCAGTTAGGAAATGCAGAATTCAAAGTGATCTCCTAGCTTGTAAGCAAACTGAGATGCACTATCCCTTTTCTATAAAAAAATGAGTTAATGTGTCAAGAAACCAACTCTAGTAAAGTGGGGTTTAATACTACCCTTTCTTATGTGTTTCACCTAATTATTTTGGTTGTTAATATGGTGATAATTAAAAGTCAAGGTAAATTTTAAATATTAAGAATTCTGATTTATTGAGCTTGAATTATGCCACCATGCTTATGTAAAAATGAAAGTGGCACCATGGTTAAACTGAGAAAAGTTTCTCAGTTGCAACAATTTTGATTTATTCTTTCCTGTGACCTCCTTCCCTGTTGTCTTGAACATAGCAAAAGGATACTGCATCTCTTATTGTAGTGCTGAGGTTACTGAAGTTATATAAAACACATCTCTGTTTCTGTTGGAAGGACAGTCCTGCTGTTGACTGACAATTCTAAGCAGGGAGAATTAAGATAAATGTGTTTCATGTTTTGCACACAAATGCAGAATTTGTATAACCACATGACTTCATAGTTGTGATCTCAAAAAAGAAGGAATTTCTCTTTTATCTTTTTCTTGCAGTTAATATAAGAACACTGAATCTCTAAGCTTCTGAAGTGTTAGAGGTAGAGATGGTCTAGTAAAGATGTAGTTGTAATGTTTTATCCATTTAGCATGTGTTTATTTTTCTTTATGTACTCGAAGGTGACATATTTGTTCAACTCAGTGATATTACAGCTAAAAAATCATTCATTAGCAAAAGGAGAAGCAATCTCAACCCAACAAATCAGAAATGTTTCTTTTTATTTTATATTGAGTTGAATATTTGACTTTAACACTTTTCTACATACAAAACACAAGTCTCTCGAAGGGTTCTTCATAATTGCATTATAGAAGAATTTAGTATGTCATAAGCACTTAAAGATTTGACATTCAACTGTAGCAGTATCCATTTTGGTTAATTTTCTTATGAGCCCCATGATGAATTTGAGAAAAATTGAAAGAAATTAGATTATCAGGTTCTGTTAAATTGTTACATGTATCTTGCTTAAGTTTTTGTTCATTAATTTATATCCAATTACATAAAGCAAATTTGGAGGAAACACCTGAAGTTGTGTAATATTTTCAGCGGTATTACTTTTTTTATCTTCGTGTTTTCTACTTAAACATGATGTCTGTCATCAAATATTATAGTCACTTTCTTTTTTTCTAGATTGTTAAAATTGGTAAATGAACTGTTTTTTTTTAATCATCTTCTATGTTGCTGTTAGTCTTTATTACAAGGCTTCCTTCACAGAAGTTCGGCAGTAATATTGAAGGAACCAGGATTGAGCTGACTTCTTCTTTTTTTTTAAGGTATTTTGTATTCTTTAATTTTGATCTCCACGTACCATGTTAAGAACCATCAGTTTGGGCTTTTACCAAGTTAAATAAAGTTATAATACAGTTGTAAAGGGCTAAAGTTAGAATTGATTACATAAGAATATTCTAATCCTTTCTTTAAAACACACATGTATAAATTTAATTACTTAAAAATTTCTAGGTATATATACTTTTGGGGAAGTATTTTTTATGGCTTGGCATTTAATACCATCTAATCATAAATTTAGAAGCTTGATAGCTTCTAAATTTTCTTAAGCCAGATAATAGGTACAACGTATTTGGATTTGGGCAAGATATGTTTAGGCTTGGCTGCAGGATTTGAGATGTCTGGAAAGCCTGACCAGGAAAAAATAAAAGAATCTTACTCTTTTAAATGTAAACTGAACAATTTGAAATACTTTCAGATACTTGTAGTTTGGTTCACACAAACGTTTTAAATGCTATGAGTGTTCTTTATAAGACATCTCAGGTATTAGAAGACTCTCCAACTACTTTCGGTGTCTGTGTAATATAAAACAGAATATAGTGAGCATTGAGGTAACAAATTTTCTGTGAACAAAGCTCCTTCTTAAGGAAGCATGCATTTTAAAAAAGGAATAACAGTAAAGGAGTCCAAAGCAGAACTGCCTATGGTCCTGAGACTGAAAATGGCAAACAGGAAAGAAGGTAAGTTTCTTTGGCATAATTTGGAAATGTAGGCAGTTGATGGCCATGTTTGCTTACAAAGGCATTGGCTAGCAATCAGTTTCTGAGAGTCAGCTGATGACACTTGCATGTTAAATGCATCAGAGCTAATCAGCTAATTTTTTAAGCCTTTAATTTTGAAATTGGTGGACATGAGAAAAGGTTTGGTTAGTATCTCCTGAAGTAATACTAAATTTACCCACCTGAATTTAAAGATCATCTGTTCTTTTACTGGGTATGGAAAAAGTTAGTGAAGATAGTTTGTAACCCCTCCTTCTATACCCTATCTAGCTCCCCTGTTCTAGTCTTACACTCAACTAGACTTCCGTATGACACAGGCCTGGTTCGGATGTCCCCATCATGTGAGGCGTGGGCATGAGAGCCATCAGCGTCCTATACAGTCTTATTCTGACTGCATTATAATATTCCTTTTGAGGACATAGCTGAATTCCTTATAATTTCTTCCCCCTTGGTCCCACTTTCTAAGTATTTTGCCATCATTAAATTAAAAAGTGTGGAGTAAAAATGTCCAAGTACGAAAATTTCCATCTTTGCATTTAATGTCATTACTGATTGACCCAGTGTTAGGTGATTTACCTAAGAGCTACCAAGAAATGGTCTCTGAAAGAATTTTTTCTCAGTTCTGTATTGTCAGAATAGGTGTTTGCTTATGACCAGGCAGTGAGTGGTTTAATGCTCATAATTCAGATTTAGAGAGGACTTTAGTTTGTAGTAATTCAAGTGAAACATAAGGGTTTAATGGGAGGAGTAACTGTAAATGCTTGATTACATTATATAAAACACCTTAAAACAGTACTTATTCTGAGTGGTTGAAAGATGTAGTAAGTTCATTTTATATATTTAGAGAAAGTTAGCTGGACTATTTGTTAGTTCTCTCTTCACATAAAGTACTATTTTTAACTAGAGAAAAATAACATCTTTTTTTTAAGCTCCTAAGAGTTACATTGTAACACATTAACGTTTATATTAAAATGACATACAGAAGTAAGTAAATGGTTGAGGCACATGTATCTGGGGAATATTAATTTAAATATACTTTGTAATTCTTTTTCTGAGAGCCTCTGGTTCTAAAAACAGCAGTGCTGGGTGATTATTTATTCAGATATTGATTGTCCTGATACAAGTATCCAGACTTGCTTTTCCATTTATCCTTTGGCTGTTTCCTTGCTCTTTAGCATGGATGAAAATCCAGATGAATCCCTTTACAACCCATTTCCTGATCCATAAAATTTTTGTTAGAGGCTTCAGTAAAATTTTACAAAAGGGGTTTGGATTTATCTGCACATCTTAATTGTTCACATTGTTCTTGTTTGCCTTGTCACGCTAAGCAATGGTCATTAGCCCAGGATAATAACTGGATCCATCTAGTTAATGTTACTGATAGACTAAAACCATCTACCATTTCATAAATTTTTAATGGAAACTTTAAGAGATACTAACTTTCTTTTACATTTTTGTTTTTTGAGAAAACTGTCCACTGGAAGATTTAGTCATCTTTGGATGCTTTCTACAGGAAGTTTGGTTTTCTCTGCATATGAATGCAGCAGCATTATCAATAAGGTACAGATTTTAGGCATTTAAAACTGATTGTGATCAAAGGATGAGCAGTGCCTGTTTACTTTGAATACATTCTTATCAGTGTGTAACAGCAGTGCTTATCGACTAGATTTCTTCGTGCTGAGAAAAAGAAGTTGAAAAAGGTAACTGAGGGTTTACCTCAAGAGTCTGGTCATAGTGATGAATGCTTATGAGGAGATGTGGTTGGCTAAGCAAGTGATGGGCCCAGCTTTTCTCTGGGGGGCCATATAATAGTTAATCTAGTCATTCAGGATCCAAAAGCAAGTCTTAGGTGTTGTGTGAATTGGGAAGCCTGGACTGTGCTATCAGATTGGCTTCCAGCAGTATCCACACCAGAGGTATGGGGATAAGCTACATTCTGCCAATTCCAGGATCACAGCCAGTCTTCGGCTTTGAGCTAGTGCAGAATAATGATCTTCTTTCCATGAGGGTAGCTGAACTAAAGCAGACAGGTAAGTTAATGGCTACAATTTTAGGGTCTGCAGTGAAGGGAAGTTGTTTTTCACAAACCATTTGTCCTCATGGCCCTTGACAATCACTGTCCATGATGTTATTTTGATATGAGGAATAATAACCATTCTTCTTTTCAGTAGTGAGATGGGTGCTAATGGCGTTGTCAGGTTGGTCATTTTTGCAAGCCTTGTTCTCAGGATTATTTCTGAAACTTTGCGTTAATGGCATTGAAGATATCTTTGAAGTAAGAAATCATGTTTATGGGTTTGGATTTTTGATAAACTGGGTTGCTGATTTCTCATGAGTAAAGAACAAGAAATGCCAACTCACATTGACTCTTAGAGCCTGATTATCACTTAGCAGCATATTGAAAGTATTTTTCCCCCTAAGTGTGGTAGCTGGTGCAGGGAAGAGGAGGTATTTTAATGGCAATTCTCATGAAGCAGAAGCAATTGGTGCTGTTGGCCTTTGGCATGGCACTGGCCTCCCAACTTCCATGTTTAACCCTATATAGTACATTCTTCACACAGCAGTTAAAATAGTTTTGAGTAAACTGGATGATGTCTTTCATCTGCTTAGAACTTTTAATTGCTTCCCATTGTGTGGAGAATAAAATCCAAGCTTTTTAATGGAGACAGCAGACTTTCTGCCTCTCTCCTTTCATAGTACTCTACTTTCTAGACTTTTTTGTGTGCTTTCTAAAATGGCAAGCTCTTTCCTGTCTCAGATCTTTTGTAGTTCCATCCTGTAGTTCACTTCCCCAGATTGTTTGATGGCTGGTTTCTTACCCTCTGCACCAACAGCCCCTGTTTGTTTACTCCATGGCTCTAATTTGTTTACTTTCATGAGAGCAGGACATTTAGGTGCTCAACAGATATTTATTAAGTGAAGGGAAGGAGAAAGCAGGGAAGAAGAGAAGCCCTAAGGAATCTGAGCATTTCTGATGGAGTGGGAGCCACCATCAGGGAGGTTCCCATTGGAAAATTGGGGTCTTATAAAGATTGTTGAGGGTTGCAAGGAGAAGGACAAAGGCAAAGCTCTTCCTGAATGGGCAGCTTTCTAATAAGCCTTGTCTCTAACCAGTCCTGCCCTCATCCTCCCCTTCACCTGAGAATGTTGGCAGGTCATAGTTCCTGTATATCAACTTTTGAAAGAAAGGACATATTGGATACATGTTTTTGTCTGCCCAGTACCCCATCTTTTTTAGTAATAACTCCCAACCAAGCATGTAATCCAAGATAGACCCACTGTAGTACCTCACTCCCTTTCCAAGGCAGTGAGTGGTTCTCAGGCTTCAGTGTGCATCAGATCCACCTGGAGGACTTGTTCAGGTGGTTCAGCCTCATCCCTGCATCAGGGGAAGGGGGGGGCTGATAATTTGCATTTCCAACAAATTCCCTGATACCTAATGCTGATCTGGGGAACCACTGGCCTAAGGGATGGACATTCAAGCCAAGTCAGACTAATCAGAGTCCTTATCTGGGGATTTTTCATACTGGAGGTAGGAAAAGAAGCCCTTTTCTTGTCACAGAGCTGTAAAGACGTAAGGTCTGAACTGCCATGCAGAGAAGTCAGTTCAAGAGAATAAATCTAACACAAGAGCAAAGCCAAGAGATGGAGAAGGCCTGATGGATGCACTAGAGCCATTGATTCAGTAATCCCCTAGGCCAAACTCACCACTGCCTTCCCACAGTATGTGTGGGCCAATATATTTACCTTCTTAATATACTAAGGACTGTGCCAGGCTATTTGCTTAGTTGGTTTCTTTTTATTCTCAGCAGCCCTGTGAAGCAGTTGGCATTGGCCCCATTTTATAGAAGAGTAAACTGATTCTCAAAGCAGCAGAATAATTTGAATTCAGTCTGTACTTTTATCCACTATTATCCCATGTAATTAATAGAATTTAAAGTTGCTGTTTTTAGTAGATCAGGCTTTTCTCTTATGAATTTGCTCACCACCTCTTTTCCATAGATAGTTGTCTGAAAGTCACCTTTAGCCCAAGGGTGACAGATTTCCGGCCCATGGACCACTTTGACCCAGAGGTGTGATATGTTTGGCCAGCCAGCACTCTTAGGTGCTTAAACTGAAAATTCTAAGAGTGCCTTCAGCATCGTATGCTTCCCAGTTTGTCAGTGTTCCTACCTCTTATTGCCTTACACCAGAACTCTTCTAGCATATGGTTTGGACTCAAGCCTCAGTCCAGGCCTGAGCCTCTGCATCTGTTCACTACCCATCTCTGGAGTAGCTGACTGGAACTCTACCTGTCCAGCTGGGGATTAGATCATGCCTTTTCCTTCAACATCCTGATGATTTTATGAGCAATATGGTTGCT